AGGGGCCCGCGCCGTCCTGCAGGCAGAAACGGCACCGAGCTCCTCGGAGGGCTGCCTTGTGCCAAATAAGCAGCGTTCCACCTCGTTCACCAACCCCCAGCCCAAACCCCTGCCGAGCAGTTTTGCTCTTTGACAGCAAAACCCTGCAGCCTCGCCGGGTAACACCTGCTGCCTCCCTGGCCCGGGGCGAAGCCCCACAGCGATGGAACTGCTCACAGCCCAGTCCCGCATCTCAGCCTCAAATTAAACTTCTAAAACGCTCAAACCACGCATCACCCTCTTCCGAGCACTCGCCATGGCGCAGACCACGCACACACGCAAGCAAAGAGGCTTTAGGTAGTTATTTATTGTTAGAGACCAGCTGCATCAGCCTCAGACACTACACAGGCGTTCCCTCGCTCTGTGCCTCTTTCTCCTTTGCAGCTCTTGCTCTCGCTCTCGCTAGCCACTCTTTTCTCTGCTTCATTCTCTCCGCTGCTTTCAGCTTCTGCACCTCCTGGAAAACCTGCGGGAGGGGCACAAGGAGGTGAGAGAAAGAGAGAGACAAAGTTGCTCGGTGCTGAGGGAGCTGCTCCACCATGGATCCAAGAGCCCAGAGTCGTGCTGTGCAGAGAGGGCAACCCCTTCCTGTGCACTGGTTCCAGGGTACCACCCACGGGTATTCTGTTATAGCTACCCGGTCTTTTGGTCAGAATTTCCCTGGATGGAAATGTAGTGTCTACAGACTGAAGGCATGTGTCCAGCTTTTTGATTCTGCTCATTCATACTGGGTACATTGCACACAGCAGTTACTCCAACATATTTGAGCAAATGAGAGCAGACTGTGGCCATACCCACATTTCTGTTCCAAAGCTGCCATCAAATGTTTCATGTCATAGTTCCCGTATCACACTTTGGAAGAAAAAGCTGGTTTGAATCATACGTTTCTGAGCAAACAAGTCACACAAGCAGAAGTTCTCAAGCACAGCACATGTGTCACTGCCCACTACACAATGGCCTTTCATCGAGCCCTTTGCCAGGCCTTTGCATGTCTCTACAGACATTGTCATTGTCTCCTCAAACTCAAAGCATGGGTTAAAAGGACTTGCTTATCAGTCTTTTCTAACTGTCTTAATTGTGCCCTTCTATAAGGAGATTTTTTTCCTACTCCTGCTATGTGGCTCTCTCTCCAAACTGCTCCATACCTTGAGGCAGAAAGCCTTCTTCACCCGCCAGCGCTTGGTGATCCTCCTGGAGTACTGAGCAGGGAGGGTGTACTGGATATTCAGCTGCTTGCAGGTATTTTCAAAGGTATCGTAGCGGACACGGCGAAGATATCCAAGTAGTTTCTTCCGGCGATCTATATCCATCAGCATGCGACGACGGTTATTTTTATCCTGCAAAGGACTTAGCGGTCACGAGATTGCAGACAGATTATACTTGCACTCCAATAAATTACTTAGAATAGACCAGATTATAGCTGAAAGGAAACAATCAGGTTAAGGACAGTATCTCAGAACAATTCTTCTTGGCAGACACTGCGAGCACATTAGGTCAGTACAAGGGGATCCGAGTAGACTTAATTTACTTTTCACTGAAATTGCTTTCTTCGCTCTGTGTCTTCACCTTCCCCCCGAGCGCTGAAGACTCTTTTTAACTTCTACACAGTTTCAGGCAATGGCAAAAGCTGCAATGGCTTGAAGGCAAAGGCCGTAGGGAAGGTCTGTCAGCTAAAAACTCTGCATCCCCTGAAATGTATCCTTCCAGAAATAACACAGAAGGACGTACCTTTGCTTTTCCAGAAAGGAAAAGTGAAAATAAAATGTGACTTGGTTCTATCTGACCATTTCATAAACCTCCTTAGGAAAGCCACAATCCCCAGAATTAAAATCCTTTTGTTCTAAACTGAGAAAACAACCTGAACAGCTGCTGTCTCAGAGCTGTGGGCTCAGACTACTAATAGTTACCTTGGGGTGCCTCTGAAGATGTTCCTCATAAGTGCGTATCTTGGCGGTCAGCATAGCAACTGTAACAAACAGACACAAGACGACACCTGAGAGCAGCAGCTTTCCAGGGTGAGGCAGTATCGCTTGCATTCCCCCCAAGCTGCCAGCTGAGGACTGCTCTTCTCCCGGGGACCCGCTGCACCACAGCGCATCTCAACACGCGGCCCTCCAAGTAAGTGCAAAACAAACCACAAAACACAACCCAAGCCAGAATCATTACAACGCTGCTTAATTGGAAGTTAAAATTTTCACACCATTACATTCTCCTAACTGATACAGAAGACTGAAGTGCTGGGGTGGGAATAGCTAGATAAAAGCAGAGATGTATCATCTGCCAACAATATCCTTCTACTTTTTTAACTTACTTTGCACCTCTGAGGAGCCATTGTCGTAGGGAGACCTCCTGACCTTCTCCACCAGCTGCTGTGTCTTTATTTTCACCTTCTCTTTCTGTGGATAACAGAAAAGAGCTTGTCACTTTGTCAGCAACACTAAAGGTCTGAGACATCCCAGCCCTCTTCCCAAATGCCCAGATAATGCTTTGTAATTAACAGCTTTACTCAGTGTCCATCACAGGATGTGTAAGAAGTGCTGCAAAAAGGAAAGGACCTGCCGCTCGGAGCACAGCAGCGAAGCGGCACGAGAAGATCTCAGCAGAACTCTGAAGCACCATTGTTCGAACCAAGAGGCCAGGCACACCCTCCAGCCTGAGATTACAGAAGAGGGAGCTGCTCTCACGAACACAAGAGAGAACTGAAGCTTCATTTCATGGGGCAGCAGCTTTTACTTCTCACGTCTTTTTAAGCTTAAGCAGTCAGCAGCAAGAAATGGTATTTTCTCCTCTCATTCTAGTATGCAATCATAAAGACTGCATGATAAACTTTAAGAGCTTGCAAGATTTCTCGCTCACGTATTTAATAGTCCCAGATTTGCAGTCACTGAGCAACACTTGAAAATAAAATGAAGGGCATTTAACAATACAGACAAGTCTAACACAAATGTGCTCGCTAAAGCTTCTAAGGTTTTTTTTGTATGCCAGTAGAATGAAACTAACCTGGCTTGCCATTTCCAGGGACAGCAGTCTTTTCACTACATCGTCAACACTGCAAGGAGATTGCAGATTAGTTTATCAGCAGTACATGTAACAACAGAAATTGGGTTAGGTTTTCAGTTTCATTAACTTTCTCAGCTTCAATTTACTTTACAAATCTGCAGCAACTCTCCTCCCTTCCCAAACCTGTCAGCCATAAACTGTTCTTTACATTCCTAAGAAAAGTCATGGCTGAGATTACAGAAGCATCGAGTAGTTTTGCTGCTGTGGGAAGTGGTTATTTCAAATTATAACGAAGTTTTACCAATTCCAAAACCGTTACGTGGGTGCTGAAGATTAACCCCCAAGTAAATGCACAAGGACAAAGTAACTCCTTTTAAGATCTGTGAAAGTCCCAGTTCGGCCACTGGGGGCTCTCACGGCACCAGACATGAGAGGTTCTGGAATCGAAGCATAAAAATGCTGAACTCCAGGTGCACATTTCAGAAGCAGCCATTCATTTGCAGTTGTTTAACTACACACTCGCTAGTTCAAGACAAGCACCGATTATTTCCAAAAAGATTATTTCTAGCATTTCAATATTATTGCTTTTTTCTGTGGACTACGAAGTCCATAGAAGATGTGGGCAACTGGCACTCAACCTTACCTCAAGCAAACAAAAACCGTACAGAACCCGAATCAGCGACTGCTTTTGCAAATTGGACTTTCAAAACGACTTTGCAATTGCTGTGCTAAAATGCAAACCAGTGAGCACGAAGCAGTAATTAATTGCTGACCAGGTGACAGCCTCCACATATCGTAGCTGTATGTGTGTAAGAGAAAAACTGAAGAGAACAGCCACTCCCCTTCCCTGTACCGTACCTGTTTATTATTGGGACATTGGCATAATCTTTCTTCAGCATTGTGGGAGGGAGATCATCCAAATGGCTGGGGACGTCTACAAAGAGAAGATTAATATTTGAACATGCTTGCCAAGCTAGACCAGAGGAAACAAATTGCAGAGAAAATAGACTGTGTGCTCCAAACAAGGAGGAAAAGCTTGAGAGATCAAGTGGAGATGGCAGGAATTGAGGGAATAAAATTGGGTCCAGTCTCTTGCCTCCAGCACTCTGGATTTACAGCCTGGTGTGTAGTCCACTGAGATCAGTGATCTCTTGCTAATGACAGTTGCTAATTTCCCATATGATGAGCTGAACTTTCTGAGTAACTTTTGAGCTTGCAAGGAATTATTTCCAGAAGCACAGAACCCCAGAAAGGTTTGCAAAGGGACCTTATGAAATTTGGCACTGCCAATAAGAGTCTGGCTCCCTCACCATCAAAATTACCCATCAAGAAGCTGCAGGATTGCAGAATCCTGCAACAGGAATTATATTTCCTCTCTCTTTTCATGACAAACTTTACCTCTTTAAAGTGAAACCCACTAGTTTCTCCAAATACTCCCTCTTCCTGTGGCACACGAGTACAACTCCGATAACAGCAACAGTAAATCATTTTGCCACGTGATCCGTTTTAATCCTGACATACCTTTCCTCTTTCTTCTCACAGGTCTGGCGTAACATCTGGCTGTCTGAACAAAGGGACGGCAAGCTTGATGGAAGAAAACAAAGACTTATCAGACTAGTGTGCACTTCTTCAGCTGTGGACACGTTAAACGCTGCTCAGTCTGTATTAGAAAACTGGTCAGAACATTTAGACTCCAAAGAGACCAGTGGGCAGCCAGGTCTTTTGTCCCAAATGAACGTGGAACACTTCAGTGTGGTTCTCACACGGGTGCTAAAACAAATGGGCAAAGCTGTGTCCCTGCGGGGTGATGTGAACCCAAACCACGAGAACAGAGCAGCAGGAAGAGACCATAGACACTGAGCAGAGAGCGCGGGGGCTCCCCAGATGAACTGTGTTCTTTTAGAGGATTTAAGCTGATAAACTAATTGAAAAAATTTAATGTGTGAGTGAGGCTGCTCTGGAGCACCCAGGCAGAGCTGAGCTGGGGGTGCAGGCGGGGAGCGCCTGGCCCCATCCTGGGCAGCACCCG